ATAATTTGTTAAATAATTACCTGTGGGACAATTATTTTTGACATATTTATAATCAGCACCAATACTGGATGAAGGCAGGTACTGCTGATAAAATGAGGTTTTTGGTTCATATGTGCCATTTAAACAGCTTTCTGACGTATCTCTCACATATGTTTTATAGCAGTGTTTCTTCCATGCACTACTGCTATGAAGGCTCTGAGACAAAAGATAATATGACTTGCTTTGCTTCATGTTGCTTTGCTTCATGTTTGTCTCTAATTGCATCATCCACAGATGCTGTTCTAACTCAGCAGAGACACAGGGAGCTGATAGAAAGACCCAGAAACTGTTTAATCTGCAAAAATCACACTCATAAAACCTTTGAATAACATAGCCGTAAGTGTGTAAATGTCTGTCATTTTCAACTTCCTTTTATGGTTTGCCAAAAAAATAAGCTGTTACTTCTTTCCAATGCAGTAAATAAGCTGTTCAGTAGGTAAAAATGATCATGAACCGTAAGATTTCATGAAATGACACACAGAAATGTTCTCAGATCATTTATAACATTGGAAAATAGACACATAACAGCAAAAGGCACGATAGCGAAGAATAAAACAATATAACATCAAACATTAACACCTGTATAAATAACATCATGGGCTTCATGATATGGATTGAATTTTGTTCCCTTATTTGTGTAAATTCTTATTATATAGAAATAAATTAATAAAATCAAAAAAATTTTACTTTTAAAAACTTTAATTAAGAAAAGGGTTTTTCTTATATTTCAGATTCTCTTTATAAAATCAAATCTTTTTTCATATTATTTTTTTTCAAATGTTTATTTTTGCAAACCATAAAAACATCTTAAAAAAAAAAAAAAGGTTTTGAGAGTAACTTTGCCGTTTTCTCAATGTGTTTTCACTTTTTTATTAAACTTTATTTTTACCCTATTTTCTCAAGTTTATTGTCCAAGTTCACCCTTTTAAAATTACGTTTTATGAATTGCATTCTTTTCAAATTACTTTTTACATATAACATCATCTTTACTTCAAAACCAATAATCACTATTGAGCTCTGGACCAATTAAAATGTTGTTGCTAACTATACGGACCAATAGAAATGCGCCTTCACTCCTCACTCTAGAGGAAGGCCCGCCCCAAGAAGTGAATTTGAAAGGCAAAACAGAAATTTGCAGAAAATAACATCTGTAAAACAAAAATGTAAAAAAAAGAAAAAGAAAAACAAAGTTTAAAATAAAAATCAATTTGTTTTTAATTGTTGTTGCCAAAAAATGTTTTTCAAAAGATTATTTTCTGGAATATATGTTTTTAAAATTTCGATCATAAATGTGTTATAACGGAAAATCATTTACTCCATGTATTGAAAGATAAACACATTCATTAAAGATCTCAAAATCCACTTCTGTGGCGTTCCAGACGGCTGAGGTTCACCGTCATCCTTCTCCACAGCCACCAGGTATCAGAGTGGGGAACAGATATATTCATGTGCCACATGGTCTGTTACATTCTGACTATACAACACAGTGGGACGAAAAAGGTCAAAGCTGCTTAGCAAGAAAAAAAAAACTATAACTTCTGAAAGAGGCGGTTTGATAGTAGAGCTCGTCTGTTCAGAGCTGCGACATTTAAACTTCCTCTGGGAGCAGCAAAATCTTTTTTTAATAATCCTAGCAGTTTTTGTTTTGATCTATTCAGTGTCGAAGTATTATTTTACACTAGTCGCTGATTTTATTTTATACATTTCTTCGGGCATCTTTCTTAGACCAAGGCTCTGAGGTGCGGACCCAGCCACCATTCCAGAACAGTTTATATTTGACCCCCTGACTAAAGTGGTTGACACTCAAACCTTTATAATATAACATAACAAGCAAGAAAAACGAAACAAGACAAAAAAAAAAAACATTTTTGTCTTTTACGGCATTTACCACAAATTCTGTTTTTTGTTGTTGTTTTTTTTTACTTAATATAAAGAAAACAGGGCAAACCTCTAGGAACCTTTAGTGGAAGGGAAACTCAGAGGCACACAAACATACAATAAACATGACAGAGAACAGCATACATGTTTTTTTCTTGACAAAGAAAAGAGGAAAAAGTAACTGTATAAAATTCTTGTTTTTTTTTCTTTCAGAAAGGCAAATATTTAAGTCCTAATTTAGCTCTCAGATCAGCAATGAAAAAAAATGTACAGTTCACTGCCATCATTTCAATGATTAGTGCATTGTGTAGCAGGTAACACTGATGACTTTGCGTCTGCCTTTGAAAGGATCTGTAGCTCAGTGGCTCCTCTTCTGTGTTCCATGATTGTGTGAAAGGTGGTTATGAGTTAGTTCTTATGAATTATGTATTCAATAATGGCTTTAATTCAAAGCTGTTGCAGTTTTGGTGTTTAGAGGCACCCAGTAGGTATAACATACAGAATAAAAGCACAGCTAAATACCTATTAATCAGCACTCTAGCCACTTTCCTTCTGAAATAAGATGCGCTGCTATGTTAAAGGGACAGGAAAGAGCAGGCAGCTATCAGGCAGAGAAGCTGCGAGAGGAAAAGAAGCGGCTGCTGTATAGTAAATTATAAACATGTTCACATCCAATTATTGGTAGGGACAAATAGGTCCGTCCAAAATTTTGGTAGGGACATGTCCCTATGGTCCCTATGCAAACCTACGCCCACGGTCTACAAGAAGGGACAGAGCAGATTTTACTTCCTAACGAAGCTTAGGTCCTTCAGTGTTTGAAATATGATGCTAAGTATTTTTTATCAGTGTGTTGTGGAGAGTCCATTCTCTTCTTCCATCATTTGCTGGGGTACAGCATCAGATGAATTGACCTAAAAACCTCAACAAGGTAATAAAGAAGGCCTGCTCTGTTGTAAGAACTCTTCTAGAACCTCTGGAGATGATTTCACAAAGATTAGTTCTTTATAAAATGAAGAAAATAATGGAAAACAGTGAGCATCCTCTTCAGAAGACTGTTAAGCAACAACAGAGTGTCTTCAGTCAGAGCAGAAAAGTAAAAAAATAAATAAATTAAAAGCTCACTAAGCAAAGTCCATCCTTGAGTTTTATTTATTTACGTATTAATGCCACAAAATCCCCTCGCTATCAGGTCATGTTTTCACATGTTGCCTATGCTGCATTTTTTAGCTACATGACGCCACAGAAAGCTATTTCCTTTCATACAATAAGCAGCTAAAAACAGTTTTACCACCCAATTTACCCACATTTGATAATACATACTTTCTGCTTCTTTAAAATTTCTGAAGAGTTTCTGAGATCTGGAGCAGACTCCAGAGATTCTTTGATCAAAAGCCAAGGACAGAGAACCAAGGCCAAGTTTTCAGCAGAGATGTTCAGCTTTTCCCACTACGAGCAGATTTAAGGCTGATTTGTACTCAGAAACAAGGCCATCTGTGTGTGTGTCATAGTGAATGAAAATGTGCCCCCCCCTCCACAGACACTCTGCTACACCTCTCCAAAATTGCAGGTGACTGCAGACAGGAGGCCTCTGATTGGTCAAATCTACATCCGCTCTACACTGAGTATTTCCTGTTTGGTACCTTACTGGCTTGTTTTGTTTGTATGACCGCCATTTTGGAAAACGACTGGTGAAGATGGACCAGCTAGAAGAGCGAGGTGCACAAGAACGCTGGGACCCTTTTCCCACCTGGATCCCCGCTCTTTTTCGCCACTCTGTTGTCGCACAAACTTGCCCCTTGAGTTTTTCCACTTCCTCTCCGCCTCGGCCGTATCTAGACCCGCAGCTTTTCCCTCTTGCGTCGTGGCGTTGGACAACATAGCGCAGACCGCGCTTCAAAATTGGGCATAAATAAAAAATATCTGCAACAAGTTCACTGCGACACACTGCTGTGGGAGAATAACCAGCCCTTTAGAGTGAACTGAGCCATTTCACTCAACCATACTCTTCTATTGGAAAACATTTTATAATAATTCATTCAACAGCCTAAAAACAATGAAGCAAACATAAATGTAACTACAAAGACAACAATAAAAATGTTATGTTATTTAAAGAACGGCAACAAGAGAAAGTTTAAACTACACAACACCAAACTGATTAATATTTGGCAGCTATAATAACCTTGTATTTTCTCTCACCAACATCAGAGAGTTGCTGCAGGGCTTTCTTTAAAGAACACCCCATTTATAGTCATGTAGTTAACTGGTCTGAATACAGCCAGCGGGTACAGCTCCAGGTATCCTCAGTGTGCTTAGCTTTAAAGGTCCCTGATTAAATTGGGTTTCTGTGATACTCTTTCACAATTTTTTTTTTTATCATTCTATGGGACATGACTTTTGGTAGTAAATAAACATGGAGACCTAAGGGTAAATAGTCATTTATTTGCAGTTTTAAAGGCAGTAGCAGACTCTAGTTGCATGCAATTTTTTCTGAAGGACCTATAGAGTCATTGCCTGATAAACCAGACTAAATGTGAATCAAAATGTGTAATTTAGTCTGGCCCTGATGAATGAGACAACAGAAGATTGTTGATGAGAACAACCCGTTGTTTTTCAAACCATGTCTGTGCCCATTGGCCAACGCTCTGACCAATGAGCGCAACTGACTGTGACGTAGGAAGCGCGACAGAAAGCTGGTTTGAGGAGTGTAAACTAACAGCCTATCGGTATAACGGCAAATACGTCCTTCTTAAAAACAAATGAGCGTAGAGCCTCTTCCTGCTCACGTTTCAACGAAAACCCCAAAGTCTAATCCTCCCAAAACTGATTCCAAAGTCGAGTCAAACAAGAGCTGTTTAATAGTTGTTACCATCTTCCTTGTTGTGCTTTCTCCAGCGTCATGTACCTCGGTAGTCACGCCCTCAAATCCCTGCCCGCTTGGCATCAAGAAATTCAAAGCACATCTCTGCGTTGTGATCGACCAACAAGTTCTAGGGCCTGGGGCATTGATCGAGGCTACACCACTCACAGGCTAAAATGATTTTGGCCGCTGGCAGGTGGGGCTAGTTTATTAGGCTACTGCTACGTTCACACCTAAAGCATGCGTGCTGCTTCATTTTTTATGCTTGTACAAAAAAAGTGGGTCTGATGCACGTTGGGCAGAGCTACCCTATACTTTCTTTGCCTGTAACAATGGCTGCTATATATGCTGTGATGAGTAGGAATAAAGTAGTTTTAATATGTTTTTAAGGATGACGGAGCAGACTAAGTGGTGGAGCGGACTATAGGATTGGGCAGACGACAGAGCAGACTAAATAATGAGCAGATTTAATGATGGAGCAAGCTATGTGATAGAGCAGACTAAATAACGGAGCAGATTAAAATAATGGAGCGGACTAAATGATGGAGCAGGCTATGTGACGGTACAGACTAAATAACGGAGCAGACTAAATGATGGAGTGGACTAAATGATGGAGCAGACTAAAGGATGGAGCGGACTAAAGGATGGAGCGGACTAAAGGATGGAGCAGACTAAATGATGGAGCGGACTAAATGATGGAGCGGACTAAAGGATGGAGCCGACTAAAGGATGGAGCGGACTAAAGGATGGAGCGGACTAAATGATGGAACGGACTAAAGGATGGAGCCGACTAAAGGATGGAGCGGACTAAAGGATGGAGCAGACTAAAGGATGGAGCGGACTAAATGATGGAGCGGACTAAAGGATGGAGCGGACTAAAGGATGGAGCGGACTAAAGGATGGAGCGGACTAAATGATGGAGCGGACTAAAGGATGGAGCAGACTAAAGGATGGAGCGGACTAAATGATGGAGCGGACTAAAGGATGGAGCCGACTAAAGGATGGAGCAGACTAAAGGATGGAGCGGACTAAATGATGGAGCGGACTAAAGGATGGAGCGGACTAAAGGATGTAGCGGACTAAAGGATGGAGCGGACTAAAGGATGGAGCGGACTAAAGGATGGAGCGGACTAAATGATGGAGCGGACTAAAGGATGGAGCAGACTAAAGGATGGAGCGGACTAAATGATGGAGCGGACTAAAGGATGGAGCAGACTAAAGGATGGAGTAGACTAAATGATGGAGCAGACTAAAGGATGGAGCGGACTAAATGATGGAGCGGACTAAAGGATGGAGCAGACTAAAGGATGGAGCCGACTAAAGGATGGAGCAGACTAAATGATGGAGCGGACTAAAGGATGGAGCAGACTAAATGATGGAGCGGACTAAAGGACGGAGCAGACTAAATGATGGAGCGGACTAAAGGATGGAGCGGACTAAAGGATGGAGCCGACTAAAGGATGGAGCGGACTAAAGGATGGAGCAGACTAAATGAAGATTTATTTTAGTGATATCAGTCTGACTTGTCATATCAGTTTGCTGATTGAGACATTCCTCACTTGTTCCCACCAAAGGTGGCGTTGGGGCAAAGGTTTTAAGGTCTTGCATGTTTTCATAGTTCAAATATAGAACCTTCGTGTTTATTAATTAATTCATTAACTTGGAACTTGAAGGTTTCTGCCCAAACTGTGGAAAGGGTGCAGCTTTGAAGAACTGCAAGAAAGCTGAATCTGAAGCAACAGGATTTAATATCCAATGCCTATGCAGTCATTAAGACTGCTGTTGGACCAGGACAGGAAGTGAGACATTTAGGCAGATGATATTCGGTGATGGAGGCTCAATCTTCCTACTATTGTAGAGACAAACAGTTATACCGACATTTGATTCATGTTATGGAAACGGATAGACTGACTTTAGGCCACTGTTGGTTTAATCTGACTCCTGGTAACAAGAGCTGCAGGCCAACACTGTAAAAAATTGGAGATTTGCTGGCAAAGACCTGACATTTATAACATGTATACAGAGGGGAGATTGCCACCTGAATACATTTCTATCCAATTTTTTTGTCTTTGAAACATATATTGTTTCATACTCTAGCATCTCACCATGCTATTTATGAGCTTACCCGGTAGCTTTTATTTTTTATTTAAATTAGGCAGTTCAAAGACCAAAACATTAGTTCTCAATCCCAGAAGCTCGATTTTAGCAATTCTGAATGGGTATAAATGAATATGAAATGTATCCCTAGATGAGCATAAAACTAATTTCAACATTTTCCAGTTTCCAAATTTTTGTTTGCTTTGACTGCAGGGCTTTACAAAAAAAAAAATTACTATTCATGCATTTGTAAAACTGAGCTTAAAATATGCAGATCACATCAATGGCGTATCAATCTGGGTGCTAAGAAGCAAATTCTGCTCTCCACCGATGACGAGGGTTGAAAAACGATGAGCAGAATGTGCTAATAGACTGACATTACATCTATCCGGATCTCAAAGGAGGGTGGCAGCTTCTAGATATTTTATAAAGTGAACATTGATTTCTTATTACAGGACAGAGCAGAATTAACAGCTGCCTTGCTCACGTTCTTTTGCTTTAGATAAATAGATAAATAAGAAGATCGGATTAGTATTAACACCTTGGTTTCTAAGCATTAGGTGATTTTTAGTACTCAGAAAAAAAAAAACTCACTTCTCTGCTCTTAGGAGTCTTAGCTTTCTCTCCATCATACATAGCTTTGAAAGACTAAGAAGTATAATTCCTGATTTTTATTGTTTGCATTGGATAAATGAACTTTTTTATATCAAAACATATATTTCGGAACAATTTATAAGGATTTTCTTAAAGCTTAGAGATGCTAAAGGTTACCTGTCAAAATCTAAGTTTCAACTTCCCAATTAAATAGAGCCATGAAAAAGTTTCTCCACCTGCTAACTGATCTAATCATATTATATATTTTTTGTTTCTTGAAACCAAACATTGGTGCAGATACAAAATAAAGAGCTGAACAATAATCATGTTTTCCCTATGCAGGGTTCTCCACATTGATGGATGTAACGGTGGCCATGAAGCAGCGCTGAAAAAGGCGGTCTGGGTCTGGTTGCTGGTTGTCACAGTCTAGCTTGCCTCTCACAAAGTGTTTCCTGAGGCCTTGGGGACCAGAGGGGGCGCTGCTGTGGCTCGTTCCAGCTCCTTGTTGACTCACCAACACATCTAAAAAGAAAAAAAGGAAATAAAAAAAACCTGAGCCTGATTTCAACATGAAAGATAAAACATAAAACTTCAAAACATTTAGTTTTGTCCTAAAAATTAATCAAAGCAAACTAACTAATTTGAAAGAACGAATTTCTAATTTAATTCTAATTTAACAATAAACAGTGTAAGTAGAATTAAAAGTATTTCCATGATAAATTAAAATGAGATAAATAAGATGATTTGCAAATGGAATGAGTATTTCTACTCGTAAAACAAGATAATTAGATAATATGCACTAGAAATAAGACAAAGCAATTGTTTTTTTCTTATTTTAAATGTAAATTGTCTTGTTCCATTGGCAAATTATCTCAATTACCTCCTCAAATCAAGAGAAAATGCACTTAATTTAAGCAAAAATGACTCTTTTAGATTTCAATTTTTTGCAGTGTGTCCTGTGCATGCATGAATCACATACTTATATCTGTGAAAATTTAGACTGATTTAAACCTAAAATATATATAGCCCAAAGATTCTCCTAAATCGACCAGTGTTTTTTAACAAAGATAACTGTTCAACTTGCTCTACTACCTGCATTTATCTTGTTTTAATCTTCACTTGCTTTAATTCAGCTTTTCTTGTCTTTTTTTATTTTATATAAAGTTCTTTAAATTCTCTTTTTTATGAATTGTGTTATACTGTTTAAAGAAACTAGCCTTGCATAGATGCTTTAGTTTATTCTTTTCTTATACATCCTGTCTTTTTTCCTGTTCCATTTGTTGTTTAGTTTGCTCATAAAAGCACATTGTGCTGCTAGACTTCTTGGAAATTTGCTATATATATATACATATATGTATATATATATATATATATATATATATATATATATATATATATATATATATATATATATATATATATATATATATATATATATATATATATATGTATATATATATATATATATATACACATATATATACATATATATATAAACACATACATATATATATACACATATATATATATATATATATATATATATATATATATATATATATATATATATATATATATATATATATATATATATATATATATATAAAGTCGGGGATTAATAAACAAACAACTGTTTATTCAGAAGAAGATGTTTTAGCTTTTTTTTTTTTTTTTTAAGTACAAAATACTTTTTTTTCTTATACATGAAAGATTTTCGTGTTAGAAATTGAGTCTGAATATAGATGGGGAGATAGATATATGTCAGATAGAATAGTGTTATAATCTGAAAATCTTCAGCAGTAAAGGTCCATTTAAATCCCTCCTATTCAACACTGCTGGGTACCCTGCTGGATGTAAGTACGCAGTAAGTGGAGCTTCAAAATACAAAAACCTTTCATTCTTTCTTTCACCCTCTGGAAAGTTTAAATCCATTGCCTTAAATATTTCAAAACCACAGATAGCGCAGATTTTCATTTTATTTTCTGTAAAGCTTTCCACCGAGGTTGGAACCCTGATGGCAACGACAAAAGCCTTTCAGCAAATGTCCTTTCAACATGCTGAATGTAAAGAATGTATGGCAGTCTTTCTGTCAATCTTTTTTCTCCATTCCCATGGAGCGCACACACTGACTGCTTTTGAAAGCTGCTGAGCTCAGCCACTGACATGTTCACCTAGGATTTTATTTGAAATGAACTGTGCAAAATTAGTTTTGTTAAATTAATTATTTCATATGATTAAACGTACTCTAAAAAAAGTAACATTATTTTTTTAAGACATTTTGATATCTAGCACCAAATAGAAGAAGTCTGACTTTCATGTTATAATTTGATGACAATAAAATGGACTGAAGAAGAACATGGTTCAGGCGTCTGATCAGCTGTCTCTTATGGAGCTAGATCGGTTTCAATTTTCACAAATACACAAATGTGATTCATACGTGCACAGGACAAGATTCACCAAAGTATTTCTGGTCCATAAACTATTATAAATTATATTAAAAAGTACCAGAAGTATTTAAACTTCACTGCATTTGTGTGTGGATTTTTGAGGCTCCTGACGTGTCTCGATACACAAATGCATTTTTTAAACAGGGGATGGTTTTCCACCTATCACAAAGCTCCCTTGTATAAGTCAATCACACAAAAGTAATCCACGTGGGATGACCCCCAGATGCCACATCCTGTGTGTCTCTGCCCCGCTCCGCTCCACCCCATTCAGGTACATTGTGCGGAACACTTGCGCACTCATTTTATTCAGTGAGAGGCGTTCCACATTCTCCTTTGAACGTCACCATTTACGTATGTCTTCTCCATCCTTCATCATCAAAATAAGGAGCCAAGTTCTTTTTAGCTCCACGGCGAGGGCGATCGCTAGCCTCGTGAGACCAGAGCTTCAAAGATTTAACTCGCTAATCAGTCTGGAGACTCTCCGTTAAAGAAAATTTGGAGCCGTTCACCAAACGAACGTCCAATCAGCGTTGGCTTTGAGGCGGGTTGAGGTGTGACGCAATGACAAGCGCAACAGTTCAGGCTAAAGAACATGGCGGCTTCAGCCGATGAAACTAGCGTTAGCGTGGCTATCGAGCAAGTTTTATCGGAATTACAGAGTATTTCTTCACTGAAAGAAGAGCAAAACACTGCTCTGGAGGCTTTTCTCAGAGGAAAAGATGTTTTTGCTCTTCTCCCGGCTGGTTTCGACAAGAGTAGCCTGGCTGTTAGTACGTCATATGCTTTGTTGATCTGATTGGTTTATTTGGTCCGTCTATCACCAACATAGGCCAAACAGCTAACCAGTATTTTCGCCCCTTCCTAAAATTAATTCAATGGAAGGTTTCCAGATGGATATGCAGAGCAAATCCATCTGGCGGAGTCAGGTTAGGCGATCACACAAAACAGGAAAAAGAACGAGAAGATCCGGTTTGTCAAATTAAAATATGGTACCAACAGATTGGTAACTACAAATTAGAGCATAATTCTTATATATTCCCCAAAACTAACAATTTTTATTTAAATTATTGGATGCATATTATTGGTACATAGACATACCAGGAAGCTGATTTCTCATCTCCATCAAAATATTTATTTTATACCGAGAGATTTTAGAGGTAAAGAACAAACCAATTACAAAGACCCACAACACAAAGAAAATAATGTTTGGGCAGAAACGTGTGTGATTGATGCTGATGGTGAGATTTAATTAGGTCATATTAAATTAAGACTAGTGGTATTTTGTAATTTAATTTATAGTTTTTATGGACCACAATTATTTTGGTGAATCTTGTTTTGTGCATGTGTGATCTTGCACTATGCATGTATGAATCACATATTTGTATTTGTGAAAATTGACACCCAATCTAGCTCCATAGATTCTGTTTTATCTTACACACACTAACAGTGCTAAAATTTCTTCGGTTATCCTTTATACTGTAGGTTTGTTTTGAGATGACAGCGCAAACAGAGCCAGCAGCGCAAACTGGAGCCAGTATTATTATCAATAATTTTTGTTTAATATCTGTCTAGACAAGAAAAAGATTATGTCCACCGTCAGAAACTGAACTAGGGATTTACATTGTCTTAATAATGAATCTGGTTGATTAATTGTTTTACTGTCTGAAAAAAGATTTGTCACAATTATTCTTCCCTATTTTTGTCTACAATGATATCATTTCAATCTGAAAAACTCACATGGAAAGAAAAGACAATTAGAAGAGTTTGATTGATACGATTGCTTAAGTCTTTGGCGCTCAGATCTCAGCAGGAAACAGCGCAGAATTTAATTTGTTATGCATAAACAGGAGTAAATAATAGGGATGTTTCCCTCCCCAGGCCTGAAACGGGTGGCGGAGTGGAGAGGATGAAGTTGGTCAGGCCATGACTGCTGGCTGGCGAGACGTAGTGCTTGAGCTGTAGGAAGAAATCCGACAGGCTGTGTGAGCTGATACTGGAGAATTCCTCTGGGATCAGGAAAATGGAAGTCCAGCTTGGAAAACACAGGTTGCATTAACCTGTCCATGATTAGCAAGCATGATGCGACAGTGGAGAGGAAAAACTCCCCTTTGGGGAAAAAACCTCTGGCAGAACCAGGCTCAACATGGCAGTCTTCTGCTGGACCGGTTGAGATGAGACAGGGAATGCAGTAAGAGTCCGGGAGGAATGACACTGATGAAGCTTTAGCTACGATGGTGGAGGAGGGGCTGGAGGTGGGTTGAAACAGAATCATCTGAATAGAAGTCCGACATAACGAGACAGCTGCCTGCACTTTAGCCGGCTTCTATGAGATGTGGGTTGAGTCCCTTTCATGATGAACTATGGATGCTGATTGGCCCGTGACGGAGGTGAATAGTAATCGTTTCTTCACTTGAACTTACGCCTAGGCTCCAGAAGAGAATTTTGAAATACCTGATTGAATTAATCTCCTCAGGGATGAAAATCAATGTTTTTGTTTTCCTACAAATTAATCAAGAAAATGAAAAATTTAAACACAAAGAACCTCCTGATTAATAACTGTCATAATATTGTGTTAATGTCTAACTTCATCTGAAATAGAGAGCTTTGTGTGTTTAAATAGTGCTTATGACTGGTTTTGTATGTGTTTGTATTTGTCTTGTAAACACTACTAATCTAAAAGTATCGACATTCGAACCATGTATCCGGATACAATACTAAGTTAACATGTGTCAGAGTTTTGCACTTTTTGGTGCAAGAAACCAAAAGTTTTCTTTTTGATTTTTTTATGTTTCATTTCCATTTTGTGGTATTTTCTGGCTGTATTTGAGTTCTTATGTACATTGAGTGGAAGCCAGCTAGGTCTGTCTATCAAACTTAGACACAGAGGTGCATTTCTTAACTATAACTGAGATTTCAACAACCAAATGCTTAGGTAAAATGGTTGGAATCAACTTGTCTAGAGCCCCTCCCTTTCCTTTAAACTAGCTCTAGCACAGGTGGTCGGCCCCCGCTGGCGGGTGGCACTCTGATGCCGTTTCATCCTGTGTCTGACAGTCCTGGGAGCTGGAGCCCAGT